ACCAGCACTTACACGGCAAAGGACGTAAGACACAGAGCACACAGCACGCCGGAGCGCGCCATGGCCCTGCGGGCGACACGGCAAGCCGCGCCGCCTAAGGCACCAGGTGCCCTTGGAATGGCGTCACCCAAATCCAGCCAAAAATCGCTGCTTTAATGGCGAAACATCAGCCGTTCGGTCTCGGAGGGCTCATGCCGACACCAGGTCGATGCGTCCCCATTGAGCACAACAAATCCATGGCGGGAAATGAATGCATTTCTATTTTTAGGCCTCAACGACGCCGGCCATCATATTCACTTCTGTCCTCGCCATGCAATCCAACACGATCAAGGGCAAGTACGAAGCTGCCATCAACAAACTCACGTGGGACACCAAGTTTGTGTCGACGTACACACAGCGATACATCACCGACCCGTTCCTCCGCATCAATGGGATCTCAGAGTACATTACGTGGCCGCTGACGGAGCGCCAAGACGCTCAAATCGCGTCTCTCTACAAAAACGACGTCATTCCTGCCTCGGATTTTCGCATCAACAACCACGTGGGCTGGAACGCGTTTCTCGACGACGTGCTGGTCAACGTCCGCAAGGACTTTGACCAAGAACACGTGACCGCGACGCTCTCCCACCTTTGTTTTGATGGGCGTGGCTCGCCCAGCGCACTCGCTCCGAGCGCAGCGGTGCCAAACACGCTCGGTGTTCTCATCGTATGGCTGCCGTCGCGGTACCTAGGCAGTCGCCTCGTCTTCCAAAGTGATCGTCGCAGCGAGACGATGGACGACACGCTGCTGCCCACGACGACCTTGCAGTGCTTGGCCACCTACTTGAGCACACAAGTGGTCTCGACACAGATCATGTGGGGTCGCCGCGTCGCGCTCGTCTACAACTTGGTGTGCACAAAGCCCGAGTGCGGGTTTCGGACGGCGCCAGAGACACAAGAGGCGGCGACCGCCGTGCTGATGGAGATTGCAAAAGAGCCGTTCCAGCGACACCCGCTCGTGTGTCGGTACATTGCCAAGCCATCAGGACTCTCGTTTGAGAAGCTATCCGTGGAAGACGCAGCTCTCGCGGACGCCTTGCTCGCGACAGGATGCTACGACGTTGCGCTGGCCACCGTCGAGCGCAGGGGTGACATTGACCCGCTCGCATGGGGTGTGTACAAAACAGAGGCAGATGTGATCGTCCGCTGCATCACGCACCCGGACTGCTCGATGCCACGAATTGTCTGCTGGAATCTCGTCGGCATGCCCATCGACTTGTGCCTGGAGCTGGTCTCGTATACGCACGGCGAAGAGGCGCTGATCTTTTGGCACAAGCGATACCGCGCCTTGCTGGCCGACGCGGATTGCGTGATGTCGTCGGTGTACAACATCATCGTTGAAAAGAGAGAGCGAGTACCGCTTGAGATCGACTCGACGCGGGAGTTTCTATTGGGCGCCATGTCGATGTTCACGCACGAGGCGGCGAGTCGCCTCCGGTTTCACATGAACGCCATGGAGTTGATGGGGTCGCTCCTCCTCATCTATGACAAATGGGACCTCGTTCGCCTCTTTGTCGCCCACGTCGTGAGCGTCACGCCGACCACCCCGCTCCATAATAGCATTGGACCCTTTCTGCGCAAGTGCGTGGTGCAGTACGGCTGGGTGCGCCTGCGTCCGGCGATGCTGAGCCTCATTGATCGCTGGGTGCCAAGTCACACGGGCGAGGTGCTCCAGCTACTAACGAGCCTTGCGGGCATCACCCAAGACGACGTGTGCCCCCCGGTGCGTCATGAAGACATCGTGGCGCTCGTCAAGACATGCTGGCGTCGGGTTCTCGCACACGAGCATCTTCTCGCCGACAATCGTGATCCCGTACCGACGTTCGTCGCGCACTACTTGCTCTTGCAGTGGTTCATGGCCCAGCCAGGCGCCTCCGAGGGTAGCTGCCTCGCCCACCGACTACCAACGGTGCTCGTGCAACTCGTCGAGAGCTTTGTGTCTCCCAAGAGCCAAGATGTTTTGGAGCACCTCCGCTCGCCATTTGTCAGCATACAGAACGACGACAGCAGCGACGACGGAGACGACGACGCGGCGAGTGAGACCAGCTCGGTTGCTTTCGATGCCATTGGCTTCTCGATCAAGCTTGTGTTGACGCTGCCTCTGGCGCTTGTCACTGCCTTGCGCAGCCAGCCCAGCATGCCAGTGGACGCGTACGCCGAGGCCCTTGTATCGGCGCTCGGCACCGTCGGCGCCGAAGAGCTATCGCTACGGATGGACTTCGTGCCCCTGTCGAGCATTTGCTGCATCGTGACGTTGCTGGATGCCACCGGGCGCTGTAGCGCAGCTGTCTTGGAGCACCTGTGGGAAATATGGTGCTTCTCGTCCGTGGCGGCCCTCGACGTGCTTTTGAAGCGGCGGCCCATGCCGCTCTCGCCAGCAACGACGGCTCTGTTTGGCGACTTTCTCCTCGCGCTGGCGCCGCGGCTACCACTGGTCGAGGAGTGGGCGAGGCGGCGCCTGTGGCATGAACGCGATTTTCCATCGTTCGCCGGCGACCAGCACCACGCGGGGGTCTTCCCGGCCGCCCTTCGCATCCTTGTCGCTGTCGCACCA